GCAGAAATTGATTTCGTCTGAAAACACGAGGAATACAATATCATTTTTTCTCGAATCTATCTTAAAATTGTGTAAAAATTTAAAAACGTAAATAACAATATATAACACGGAAGTTTCTACATACTGATTATCATCAATAAAACATCACGACACCTAATTTGAGTGCTGCCTGTATATTTTGAAGGGCCACATTGGAGAACAACTTCTATAATATCTGATGGTAAGAGATAAAGAAATATGAACTTTTTACATGTGGGAACATAAATGTTCAGCTAACTAATGGTTGGTAGGAGGGATATACCAATTTTTGCAGTAGGATCTGGAGTCATATGAGCAATACTAGCAAAAGTTGTCGTATTTAGCTTGGTTGAAGGCAATAGTAGTTTCTCAAACTCATCATTTGGTTTGACATATTCAATTAGAGTTTCTTTACTAAGCACTCAGTACATTTTTTGTATTAATCTTCCGTATGACGATAGTGAAACTATCACTCCGGCAATGGAGATTAGACATGTATCCAACAATATAAACTTTTTTACATAATAGTCAATATCATTACCATATACACATGTCCTGATTTGCTGCTCCTGTAAAGTCTGAGAACTTTGTGAGATATAGATAAATAGTATAATTATTATTAAATGATAAGATACGATAACACTAAGCGAGAATACCTATTCGTCTTCCAAAATCATATTTTAGAATCTTATTTCTTTCTCCACACTTTGTCGCTCGACTCATGTCCACGATTTGGACTTTGCAAGTCCAATCGGGAGTAATAGTTGTTATTCATTCAATATTGAATCTTAGTGTCATATCTCTTTATCTTCACAATAATATGATCAAGAAGGGCCAGAGAGCCACAATAGTTAGAGTTCTTTTGAATTCATAGACTCTTGCTAATGGTAAGGCACATATGAAAGGTTAAATACTATAATTTTTTTGTCTCTACAATCTAATCCACACTTTAGATTAGATTTATATAATTGAAGATAATTCTTATGGAGATTCAGTACTTAAAATTTTAGTGTCAGCTTTTGAAATGTAGAATTTCTCTGAGTCTACGGTTAAAGAAAGGGAGAAAGTGCGTTACAATATAACATCAAATACCTTTTGTACAATATAAAGAACAAACAATAATAGTACTAACATGCAATAGAAACTAACAAATCAAAAAACAAAAGGAGAGAAAAAAACCAAAAAATATACTAGTACTGCATTTAGGTTGAAACATGAAAGAAAAACTACATAAAAGTGTGAAGGAAATATTTCTCCATATCAGTGAAACAAACAAAAGGGAAGACATCTATTTTATTATCCTATTTCTTCACAGAAGTAGAATCAACAAGAAGTGCATAAAAAGTAAATGAAAGGACTTAAAAAACGTAGACCTATGAAAGCAATAAAGACAAAATAAAAAACTGGACCAATTTCAAGCTTTAAGGAGATGAGCTTTAGAAGTTTAAAATTAATGGATATTAGTAAGAGTTGAGAGAAGGAGTGATGGTTTCACTTTTGATTTGAGTATATGTAAAGACAATAGCTATAACTTACACACAGATGTAAAGCTTTCTACGTGCTCAACAACCAATAAAATAGGGCCAGAAAGAATCCTACATTAGAATTGTACCCTTTTTTTTTATATATAAAGATACAAATACATAATGCTAAAGGTACAAACACCTAATGTCATGATAGTTCCAACTCTTGTTGGCTTATATAAAAGGGTAAAAAAAAAAAAAAAAAAAAAAAAAAAAAAAAAAAATAATAAATAAATATATATATATTCAAAAGCATTTATATAACACAATTACCTAGTAATAGTGTGCCTTGAAATTTGGAGAAGTTTATTATAGTTGCATAACGCTAAGGTTGTGCATCTGTATGTTCAATTCAATTTTATGTATTATGAGTTTGATTTATCAATTTCTAATTTGTTAACACACTAAATCGATAATCAAACCAATACGATACTTATTATTGATTTTCGATTAGTTGATTTTGGTCTTTAATGATTCAATTATCGATTTAACCAATGAGAAAATGTCGATATGATTATATATACACGATACTTATAAAATAAAATAATATTAATAGCAAGAATAGAAGTGCAATACGAACTTTTACATTGATATATTTTGCTTACAAAGAAAATGTATGAGTTCCTTCTAAAGACTCGTGCAATAAATTGTGAATACAACATTAATGGTATGTTTTTATCACAATCAAATCTTATATTAAGAAAAGACAAGGTAATACTTGTTCGTGCCCAGAAGAGAGAATGTATCACAATAGAGAGGCACTATTATATAATAAGGAGTAAAATAGTAATTTTGATGTACTCTTATTGGGTTATCAATTTAACCATAATCATATAATCAAAAACCGAACTGATAACCCAACAAAAAAAATTACAAAATCGTTTAAAAATCATTAACCTAATAACCCTAATCGATAACCTAATAAAAAAAAATTCGATTTGATTTATCGATTGTAAAATTGGCCAATTACTTTTTAATTTTAAACTCAATATTATAAAGTTTTTATTTTTATTTTACTACTATTAATAAGAGTGAATGTGAGGAGCTTCCCGTTTATGGGAATTGACGGAAAAGTATTAAGAGGCTAATTTTATAATTTCACGTGAAAAAAGTAACTCAATTGGTTAGTTAAAGAAGTAGTGTGGCTGCGTTTCAACTTTTTGTATCTATTGGACTAATTTCTCCCTTAAAAATATAAATATTTCGTACAACTTTCTGAAAATATGGGACCCATTTAAGTTTGAGTTAGTTGTATTTCTTTTGATTTCTTATTACCATACGACTGCTTTGGTGACTGATATTTACTACTCCCTTCATTCACTTTTATTTGTCATGATTTTTTTTAGAGTCAAACCACTATAGTATTTACTTGAAATTAACATTCAATGACTACATATGAAATTTACACGATTTGTTTATGAAATAACTTTGAAACGCTGATAAAAAACATAAAAAGGGAATGTGAGGAGCTTTCCGTTGGCATCAAACGTCAGGAAAGCCCCCGCTTCTTCCATATGCAATTTGGATTGGCTGGGATCTTTCTGTCATTTGATCCACTTGCAATTTTATCTTTATACTACACGTGGTTAGGGGTGTTCACGGTTTGGATAAAAATCGATTCAAATCGAAAAATTGAATCAAACCGATTAAATAAACCAATTTTTATTTGGGTTAGGTATGGTTTAGTTTTAGATTTTTAAAAACCGATAATATATGGGTTGGTTATGATTTTGTTCGGAAAAAATCGAAGAAATAACCAAACTGAACCGATAAATTATATACATATATTTTATTAATATACATACATAATATATTGTTTTTATAAATAATTTTAAAGATTTTATATGTATTTTCATCAAATTTTATTTATAATTTACTTATCAAAGAAAAAATGCTCAAGGTGAGAATATTTATCTTATTGGTTTTATGTATATGAGAGTGTCACAATTCTTTATAAGATTGAAAATATCACTTTCTCTTTCTTCTAGGCCAAAATAATGAATTTTGAAGCTTTATTCATAATAAATTCAATGATTGAAAGTTACATATATTTTATTAATATACATACATAATATATTGTTTTTATAAATAATTTTAAAGATTTTATATGTATTTTCATCAAATTTTATTTATAATTTACTTATCAAAGAAAAAATGCTCAAGGTGAGAATATTTATCTTATTGGTTTTATGTATATGAGAGTGTCACAATTCTTTATAAGATTGAAAATATCACTTTCTCTTTCTTCTAGGCCAAAATAATGAATTTTGAAGCTTTATTCATAATAAATTCAATGATTGAAAGTTATGTAATGTCAGGCATTCTAACTATTTCCGTTTTAAATGGATTGTTGTAACTTTTTTTTTCATGTTTTGAATGAATTGTTTCTTTTATTTTTGTCTATGGTTAATAACCGAATAACCAAACCAAACCGCACCAAAACCGATAACAACCAAACCGATAAATATATACTATATTTGGTTTGGTTTGGTTTTGATAATTTTAAAATTGATTAAGTTGGTTTGGTTTTAGTTTTGACCAATAACCGATCCAAACTGACCTGTGAACACCTGCAGGCAAGAAACACGTTAATTTGAAGGATCTTTCTTTCAGTACTTTTCTTTCCCATTAATTTCTCCCAACACTCTATTAGTGGATCTTTAGTCGAATTAATTAAAGTACTTTTTTCTTAATAATACACATAATGAGCCATAAGAGGACGCTTTCGTTGGTCTGTTCTTTTAAGGGTATGTTGCTAAATTATCAAAACATTGAAATGTAGCTCTACTGATAATTGTGAAGAAAGTATATTAATGGATCTTCAAAAATCAAAAAGAGGTAATAAAACCTAAACTATTATATAGACATCTAAAAAAATTGGTGGAAGCTTAAAATCTATCAATGTCTCATACATTGGTATAAAGGAAATAACATATATTATTTGATATAACATGAAAATTACTATAAATTACAATAATTAACAATCACATAGATTGAGATAAAAAAAAAGTAACATATATTAATTTGAAAATGACGTAAAATGTACTATAACTCATAATAATTAAATAACTGACATATAAAAAATTTGTTTGGCTTTTAAATTTTCATCAATGTCACATGAATTGAGATAAAGACAATAACATATATTACTGAAAATTACAAATAAAATATTATAAATTACAATAATTAACAACTTAAATTTAAAAGACATACAAAAGATTTATTTAAATTAAAATAAAGAGATAAGTAACATATATTGGACTCTCTGTAACTCGTACTAATAACAAAATAGATGTGAATGAACTTACAAAATGGAATTTCGAAAGTACAAACGCTTTTTCCTTTATCATTTTTTAGTGGATAAGTCACGATCCTTATCCTCTCTTCCACTTTGTTTGTCTTTTTCCTTTATCATCTCTCCCACTTATCTATCAATCAATCAACCTCTTCACCATATACCCAACCAACCCATCATTATACATAACCATCGTCCCTCTCCCTCTCTGTTCCCTAATTTCTGAAAAGGGTTTCTAGCCAATTGCTTGTTGAATGGACTGTTGCCTCTTCTACACTAAAATTTCTCTTCACCAATCTTTACCTCTTACGGTGAAGACTTTGCTATCATCATCAACTTGTTTTGTTTTCAACAATTCCTCATTCGGCACTTCTTCTGTTGGTTGTAGGAGATCCTTGTTTGTAGTGGCTACTGGTAGTAGTAGTAGTAAGTGTGAATTTGGTGGCTTGAACGCGCCGTTAGAACCAGCAACGCCGGCTGGGAGGTTGTTGAGTACTGTGCTTCTGAATGATCGCAAGTATTTCCACGTTGCTGTTCAGAAACAGTTGGAGCAGTTGGCTTACGAACGGGATGAAGCTGTGGCTCGGATGAATCTGAGCTTGGGCTCTGATGAAGCTTTTCTGCACAGGTACCTGCTTTGCTTTTACCATTTTACGTCCCGCCTTTCACTGTGATTTTTTGCTTTTTCAATACTTATAAGTTGTACGTGCTTGGTTTTATCCTTTATCACATATTTGGCTTTATTGTCTTTAATTATCCCTACTGCAAGAACAATGTAGGCTGTACGAATCCCCTTATACTTACATGATTCATGATAATATATCTTTATGCAATGGGGGGCTCCGTGTAACCTAGTGGTCAATGAACTACCAAACGGGGAGTTATATCTTTATGCTGATAGTATGGGAGTCTCCGGCACCCAAGAGTTACTTGATACCTGTTGTTGGTAGAAAGTGGTAGGTATCTCGTGGAATTAGTTCAGATGAGTGAAAGTTGTCCTAGACACCACAATCATTAAAAAAAGGGGTTGACTGGGGCTTGGGACCAGGATTAAAGCTCATGTGCCCACAAAGCTTATACTGATGAAAAGAAATGTTGCATTTAAACTCTGGTCTTTCTAGCTTTCTTGACTGACATGCTCTTGTGTTTTTTACTTCACTATCCACTGTTTGTATAAACAAGTTTAAAGATTAAAAAGTAAAGGCGCTTTCGACTAACTTTTTGAAGTTCTGTTGTAGACTAGAGAAAATTCCCCTGCTTCTCTTCTCTTGAAGATTGTATCTAGAGATAGAATTGTACTTGTAGAGCCCGAATAAAGAAAAGGACTTAAAATAGACTTCCTTACACGAATCTTAGTAGGTAGTACAGTCATTGATTTTTTCTTAGGTACATAAAACTTCTGAGTCTCACATGAAGTGTTGGTTCTTTGTTTTGGATTACTGAGTTTAATGGTAGAGAGTAATAGGGATGATATTTACCAAATCCTTATTTTATTGGGTGTTGTCATGTTAAGAGGAGGATTCAACTTGATAGACTTGGACAACAGATGCTGGAGCCTGGAGCAAAGTTAGCACAAATGAAAACTCAACTGACACTAAATTAGTGAGAGGGTTGGGAGATATTTACATGTACTTAAATATTTACTTGAGGTTGACAAAACAATTTAATCACTCTCTCTCTCTCTTGATCCATAATCCATCTCTACTTGTGAAAGAAAATCCATTCAGCTCAATTCGCCTTTCATCTCCCACCTATTCAAAGACTATCGTTTGCATTCCTTTCTTTCATCTCTACACTTATCCTTTCTCTCTTAAAAAATATTAAGAAGGTTATGTTATCATTATTATCTTCGTTCACTAAATGGTTTTTGAGATACTTAGCGTAGTTATCTTTCATTGATGCTTGCCATCAGAAAGAACAGGATGAGGTTCAATAGAAATTTTCAATTACTACTATTTTGTGTCAACTAATAAATTATAATAGCATATGAAATTCTTCATTTCGCGTGATAAAGCACTTTTTTCCTATTTGATGAATGACCTCCGTGTTTCTGTAAGTGTCTTCGAATTACATTACCTTTAGACTGCATTGTTTTGGCAATGCAATACATAACGGAAGGTTTTCCTTCAGTTAGTCATTGTCCTCAATGTCAATCAATCTGTTGTTACAGATAATTCTCTTATAGATATGGACCAGTTTGTAGCTGTCATTAGCAAAGTTGTAATTGAGGATACAACAATTTGCTCATTGATTATGCAGCCCCAGAAATATCTTTTCCCTTGCATAGGAATGGAACTTTTGCAACTTGAATAGAGATTACCCTCTGATGACATGAGTTGATCAATGTGATATCTGGCACGGGCTTAAAGTCCATTTTTTATTGCAATAACCTGTAGCTTGAGAAAAACCTATAAAATGAACATGTATCATGCAATAATACATTTGAACTCTGGTATTTTAGGAGCTGAAAAGGCTCTATGTATATCATCTTTCACTACAAGAACTTCAGGTAAAGATACTAAGTTTAGAATATATTGCAGCCTAGACTTATCAATATTTGGATATACTTAATAATTTCTTTGTTTTCCATATGCACTAAATATACTTGTCGATTGATATCATTTCTTGAGCCGTTCAACTGGAAATCTTTGCTACAAGCTTGTGTGTTCCTTTATCCAACTGCATCACATGTTTTGGGGAAGCATAGATGCTTGGAGCAATGCTGGGAGAGACAGATGCAGTGATGCATTATGTAGGGACAGAAAAAGAATGTTGAACAAATTCACTCTTTCGATGACCCTTTGAAAGCTTTCAAATAGTCAATGAAAAGTAAAGGAAGACAAAGTTAAAACCCTTCGGGGTGGCCCAGTGGTTTGGGTTTGAGACTTCCATGTTGGAGGTCTCAAGTTCGAAACCCCTTGCCAGCGAAAGGAAGGGGTTTGCCTTCTGGGTCGAGCTCGTCGCACCGGGCTTGCCTAGTGCGGGTTACCTCTCCTATGTGGTTTGCGAGCTATTGCATAGGAGCAGGGGTAAAAACCTTGTGCGCACCCAAAGGGTAGCGGCTGCGGGTTTCGCTTGTCATCAAAAAAAAAAAGGAAGACAAAGTCTGTGACCAAAAGATTTTTATTTTCCGCTTTTCCCACATGTTCAACATCATGTCTCTTTCTTTTGTCCTCAACTTGGTAATCTGAAGAACATAACTTTTGGTATTAAAATTCTATAAATTAGAAACTCGTAAATTATAAGGGGATAAGATCTTGCTGATTGAACCGAAATACCACCAGAGCCAAACCTAGACTGGTTTTGAAGTCTTAGAATGCGAAAATTCTGAACTTCTGAGGGTGGGTAAAGCAGGACTGGAGGGCTTCTAGGCTGGCAAAATTCTGAAGATGGTTCAAGCATGAGAGGAAAGTCTGTTGGGGCTCGATGTGGCATCCAAAAGACAAATTATTGCAGGTCTAGAACCAAAGTGGACAATATGTTTCATGGACTTAGGTCATGACGAATATAGTATAAGAGTCGGTCGTACGATGGTGGGGTAAACATCGGTGAGGACCTTAAGGCCCTAAAAGGCATAGGACTAAAGTGGAAAATACATGCCATGGACTTAGGTTGCGGCACAGTTGATCTAATCGACAACAAATATCAATCCTCTGCTAGAAGCATGACATCCAACTAACGTGAAGATAAAAGCAGATTGATTTTAACTGGAATCATCAGAAAAGAAATGTTAAATCCCATCTGAAGTTGATTAAAAAAAATTAGGAAGCTCAAATCCTCAAAAATTAGTAAGATGATACTGAAATCCAATTATCTGGAAAGTGGCCCATTTAAGTTTTCTGTAGTTCTAGTGCTTAAGGGAACAACAAATCCCAAATAAGATACTTGGTATCTAAAATTTATTGTGCTCAACACAACTGTATGAATATCAAGCATACTATTTAATAAAGCTGATGGTGTAGAAGCATAAGCTGCTTGTATTCTCGCCAAATCATCGGTTATCATTAAGTTGATCGACTTAATTTTTTTTTCTGTTCTCCATTTATCTGGTTGTCCAAGTTACAATTGCAAGTAGTAGTGGAATGACAGAAATCTCATTCTTGAGATGTAGTCCAGTTTAAAGGATACCTTCAGCATGAGATCCTCATTGAATAGGCTGCAGTAATGCTACAACAATCCAAATATAGTCATCTGCTTTTGCATTCTATGATTTCAAATTCAGCTGGGTTCTTCTGGTATTTTGGTGCAATTAGCATGTTCTTGTTCCATAAATGATTTACAAGTGTTTAATTTGTAGAATTTCAAAACTCTGTTTTTTAAAGAATTGCAGTAGTAAGTTGAGTACGGTTGTAAGAGACGTGAAGATGAACATGAGGAACATGGGAGAAAGTGAAAATGTTGTGGCCACGGATAGGAGGCCATCTTTTATCTACCTCTATTAACCAATCAGGAGAGCTTTTAAAATAACATGGAAGAGTGTTTTTGTTCAAAATTTGGTTTCCTGTTCCATTTTACTTATGCAACAGCTCTTTGAGGAATGTAACTACTTTTGATATTATACAAGGAACCACTGGTGGGAGCTAGACATTGCCATTGTTTTGGTGCCTAATTCATCAGCGAAATGACTAAAATAGTAGGTAAATGTTGGTTTCTGTGCAATGATGGTAGGAATAATTGTTTGGACAACTCATTGTTAGATTACCTGATACTTGTTCATCTAGATATAGACTATCTGAGTCTCCTGGGTCGGATTTACTGAGATTTGAATGTGATGTTATGCCAGGAGGATTGCTGAAGTAAAAGAGATGGAGTGTCAAGCTTCTGTTGAAGACATTATGTACATGCTAATATCTTACCAGTTTTCCGGAATCAGAGTGCACTTGATTCCCAGGCTTTCAAAATGCATGTATAATGGCAGGCTTGAGATATGGCCTTGCAAGGACTGGGAACTTGAATCTATCCATAGCTGCGAAGTACTGGAAATGGTTAGGGAACATCTTACTACTGTTCTAGGATGGAAAGAGAAGTCAAATGTGGCAGACAATTGGACCCCTACTGAAGTACAAAAGTTCAAGCTCTGTCAAGTATATGCTGCTTCTGTTTTATACGGATATTTTTTGAAGTCGGCTTCCTTGAGGCACCATTTGGAGAAGAAATTTGATCATATCAACCCTTACCTTGATATTGCTAGTTACAACCAACTCTTACCTTCAGAAATTCGGTCCTTAGGATCGGAGATTGTTCCCTTTGGTCGCATCAGTGGCAGACAATCTACATCAGTGGGTCAAATACCACTTCTCCGTGAAAAAAAGCAAGACAAACTGAAGTATTATGTGATGAGTTTTGACCCAGAAACATTACAGATGTGCGCAAAACCAAAGTCCAAGGAGGCCCTGAATCTGATTGAGAAGCATAGCTATGCACTCTTCAGTGATAAAAAGACAGGTTTGGTGGCGAGTGATGAAGTAATTTTGACATCAATGGCAAGTTTGAAGAGAATTGTCTTGGAGGCTATTGCGTTTGGTTCTTTCCTTTGGGATGCAGAAGAATACGTTAGGACTGTGTATAAGGTTAAAGAGAACTAACTTGGCAGTGATGTGATTGTTTTCTATTGATGTTGTCATATATATGTACATATACTATATAGAAGGTTTCTGGTATCTGATACCAAAGGATTTGTTCTCTGGTAGTCTATGTCAGAGGATATGCTTTGTAAATTTGAGTTGTATAGAGCGTCATCCATAATATGTGAATAAATCATGTATGGTGTAAAGCAGTTTCATGATTTCGTCTATTGATGAGTGCCCAAACCATTTCATGTTGTCCTGTATTAGCATATGATTCTATACGACTACATCAAATATTTTTGCAGGCAAAAGAAGTTGCGTGAATCCCGTGGCTGCACCACCCGCTAATCCCCACCGAGTTTGTTGAAGGATGAATGCATGAAGGTCAACGTCTTGGTTGTTGAGAAGGCCCTCGTGCCAGTCAACTCCTGCAGAGGGATCTCCATCTCTTCAATAATTAAGAGTTAAGACAGTTGACTGTTCCTGCCATTGATGAAAGGTCAGTTGCATTCAAGAGTTGATTCTGAGATCTAATTAACAACTAGCTGTGTCTGTTGGTTAGCAACCAGCAGAAAAATTGTCACATTTTATAATATGAGTAAATGAGATGCTGGAGGGATGAAGAGTTACCGATTGTGTTTGCTTTATTCGTTTTCATTTACTACTTGGGTTTTAGGATAACATAGGGTGTGTTTATATCTGTCGACCCTCTTTTCTGAATAAAAGAGGTTACACGGATTAAGTTGGGAACTGCTTAGTTACACAAAAGTCGCTAATTGCAAATAAACATTCTATTGCAATTGGAAGGTACCGTCTGGGCTTAAGAGTTGAGAAATGCAGAACTGTAGGTGTTAATGAGTTTCTTAAGTCTTAATAGTTGATAAATGGTTCACTTGGTCAATCTGTAAACAAAAAACCTCATATAAATTAGTTGGGATCTTCCATTTGGAATTAAACTTACTTGACGACTTTGTGTTGCTAAAATGTGCGGACCACTACTTCCTGTATTATTCCAATAATTAAACCGTATAAACTAATCACATGAGCTCAGCCAACTTATTATCCTAACTATTTAAATCTATCAATATTTTTCTTGCTTTCTCATCCTTTCCTCCTGTTTCAATGGTGCTTCTCTTCTTGAACACCGTATTCTCAACGTTAGGTACGTTTTTATGTTGCATCATTCACTTATTTTTCTGTACATCAGCCTGTGCATTCGTGCTGATGATTCAAGCACTTAAAATTCCTGGCGAAGTCATCCAAACTGGATTGCAAGCCTTAGGAGATGCCATCAAGGGCTGTCTGAAATGTCTGCTGAATCTTCTGTTACAAGTATTGAGTGACGCAGCATCTTCTCTCTTTGATCTTCTCTGGAAAAGAATCGTAGAGGGTTCGTCTACCATGTTCATAACCATGGAAGAAGTAATAGCGAACTTGAGAATTTTATCAGCAGAGTTGTCAAAGGATTTGGTGCAGGTTTTTGAAGGACTACAACAGATGTTTTGTAAGATTGTGGAGGATTTGTTAAAACATTACGTGGATGCTGTAAAGTATATCCTTCAAAATGCTTGATTAGGCTTGGCAGTTACTCCTTCATCCGTTTCTTTTTAATTGTCAAGATAAGGTTTGACACAATTCTTGAGAAAAAAATTAATTAGAAATATCGTTTGACTAATATACCCATTATTAATTCTTAAATTTTTATCTTTTGACAACTATTTTGGAGCAATGTATGTTGCGTATACATGACAACTTAAAAGGAACGGATGGATGGAGTAGCTCAACTCGAAGTATTCAATGAGAAAATGAGAATTGACCTTGTCCTGATAGATACAAATCAATTTGTGCAGACTTTGTTTATATTTTTAAATGCTGGGAACCAGTTCAATTGTAAAAGAACTATTTTATCAAAAATGACGAAGTTGTGTCTCTAACATAAATTTACAAAAATAATTCTTAACGCGGAAGAAGAAAATCATTTTTGGTCTTATGTTATACTAATTGCGTACGTGTATTTTACATGTATTCCGGGTCAATTAATATTAAATTTAATTGCTTACATATATTAAAACAGTGTTTGTATATAGAATAAAAAATAAAATATACAAAAATTATAGCTCGAGGAGACTTTGAGGAAGGCAGATATCTCAAGAATCACCAGGCAAGACATGCTTCTGGGTTGCAAAATTGGTCAAATTTATGGTTATTGTTTGATTAACCTACTTCAAATATATTGGCTATCCAATCATTTAAAAGTGGATTAAATATGATAAATTCATATCATCCATTATAAAATATAGGTATCCATCATTTGCACTCTCCATGATAGATATAAGTGTGTAGGAACCAATAAAAAGTACACTTACTAAGGTGTATTTGGTATGAAGAAAAATATTTTTATTTTATTTTTCAATTTTTTCTTGTTTGATTGGATTAAATGTTTTGATATTTTTCAATTTTTTCTTGTTTGATTGGCTTGAATATTTTGAAAAATATTTTTTGAATGGACTTATTCTCCTCTAATTTAAGAGAAAGTGACTTCCATACATAAATTTAAAGTAAGAAAAAAAATCACAACTTTCCTTAAATTAGGAAAATATTTTTCAAAACTTTACTTAAATCAACCCACCAACTGATTGAGAATCCAACTTCCAATCCCGACTCCCGATTCCAATTCTAGATACGAATTTCGACCTCTCGAAGTTGACTCAGGACCATTCATTTTTCAAAAAAAAAATATTCTAGAAAAACATGAAAATAGTTTGCTTCACCAAACACACGATAAAAAGAGAAAAATATTTTTTTAAGAAAACTTATAATGAAAGTACGTATTTCTCTACATAATTAGAAACAATGGATAATATTAATATTATTACACATTATCCATTGAATTTATCCATTTTTATTCATGTTAAATATGGATCAAGTCGAATATTTTATCCATTTTCACTTACTTATTTTTGATCAATTCATATCTGCCACCACTCATTCATTTGTCATTCCTACATACTAGTATCAACTAAAAATCAAGAACAGACCCAAACTTATTGTGATGTTGACTGAGCAACATGTCCTAACTCAAGAAGGTGTGTAACATATTTTTTTGGTCAAGATAGGTCATTCACTAAAGCTCAGTTGAATATAGGAGTCTTGCTTCCGCAATAGCAAACTTGACTTGGATATTAGGATTGTTTAAAGAGACTGGAGTACAAATCAATCCTTTCAGGTCAAATGCATATTGCTAGTAAAGTTGCAACGCAAATCACTGTCAATTCAGTGTTGTATGAGAGAACAAAATATATAGAAATTAATTGTCACTTTGTGAGATGAAAGATTCAAAAGACGTAGGGTGTGTTTGGTATGAACGAAATGTTTTCGTAGAAAATGTTTTCTAGGAAAACAAGTGGATTTTAACTTATTTTCTCATGTTTGGTTGGTGAATAATCTGTTTGGTTGGTGAATGAAAAATGTTTTTCAGAAAATATTTTTTTTTTGGGGGGTGGGGGGGGGGGGTAGGGAGTAGGGTTGGGTGAGGTAAAAAAAATCTTAAAATTTGAAACATTTTTTTAAAATAATTTTTAATTTTTAATTTTTTTGTTTGAGGGGGTGGGTTGGTGGTAGGGATATATTTATATATTTGAAATTTAAAAAATAAGAAAAAATTAAATTTTAAATTATTTTGAATGGGGAAGGTCAGGTACGGGTATGTGTAGGGTAAGACAAAAATTAAAGGATGAAGTGGAGTTTTGGAAAATGTTTTCCTCAATTTTGGAAGAGAAGTCATTTTTCTTAAATTTGAGGAAAATGAGTTGATTTGGATTCCTCCATACCAAACACACCCATAATCAAAATTAAGTAGACTGCTTGGACATGCGACATGAAATTATGAGATGAAATTATCGTTTGGACATGCGATTTCACGTCGATTTCATCTCAAGATTTCATATGATGAAATCTTATATTCTCCAAAAATCATGATTTGGAAATTTTCAAATACAAATTTATATTTTGTAAAAACAATTCTACATTTATATCTACTAACCATATTGTTTCATATGTAAATAAAATTTATAATTCATATCATTACTTTTTAAACCATTTACATCTGATATAATGATTATTCTCAAATCTCACTAACATAGAATTTATTATTACTTCATATCAACTTATACTTTACCATTTATATTCACCAGATTTATTATTTTTTATCAAATTTACTTACCAATCAAATTGACCAACAAATGGCTCAAATTAATAATATTGGTTCTTCTTAGCCAGATGAACGAGAAGTGTAAGTTCAGTGTGAGAAAATTGTTTGTACTATGTGGGAGGACTATATTAAAGACAAGTACACCACAACTTATATATGTTTTTTTTATTGAATTAAAGCTTGATCAATAAATATTGTTTTTTTAAGAATATCTTTGTGATAGTGTATTATGAAATTTTATAATCTTTTGTTTATTTGGTAAGATTGTATAAAGAATTGAGACAATTTTAATAGTTTTACAACTTATGATATTTTTATGTTTATGAAAAACATACAACATAAAAAATCCAAATTACATGTCCAAACCAAACTTCAATTTCATATCATAATTTCAAATCATGATTTCATATCGCATGACCAAACGAACCCTAAGTATGTCCCTATAAAAGAGCAACAAGTAGATCTGTTAACTAAAAAATTAGGGATAAGACACAAGTATCCCCTTAGACTATGACTGAAATTTCAGAGGCACACCTAAACTTAACTAGAGTCCTATTACCCACCTAAATTAATTTAAAATGGAATAAATACACCTCAAATACTGACATGGCATAGAGAGTGTGCACACTCTCTTGAATTATTTTTTGATTGGTAACTTTATAATTAGTTAGTACACATATTTATTGATATTAAACTTATATATATTTAATTATTTTTATTTCTTTCTTTTGTAAAATATTTGTTTTTATTTCTTTTCATTTTAAACTTTTTTTTTAATTAATTTATTATCTTTCACTTTTTAAAAAAAAATTATGTTTATTTTAAAAATAATAATAATTTAAAAGTGTCTTTTAATTTTAACGTTTTAATTTTTTTATGTTTTATCTTATTTTCTTCACTTATTTTGATATCCGTTCAAAATTAACTTACTTTAAATACAAGACATTTGGAATTAAATTTGAAATCAAATCAAAACGAAAGACAAAAAAAATAAAATCAATAGAAAAATAAAAGAGAAAAAACAAAGAATGTAGGTAAAAAAAAGTTTCGATACAAGGTAAAAAATGTGTATTAACTTAATTTAAATACGAGATAAAGGAAATAAGAATATTTTTTAAAAATTTAAAAATTAAAAAGAAAAAATTTGAATTTTTTTTTTAAAAATAATTTTTAATTAAAAGATTAAAAAAAAAAGAATTTACACACGTGGCGGGAGAGTGTGTACAAACACAACCAACTTGGGTGGTTGAAGGTGCCACGTCAACACGAAAGGTGCACAAAAATACGAAAAAAATGAGTTTAGGAGGGTAATAGGACCTTAGTTAAGTTTAGGTGTGTCTCTGAAATTTCGGTCATAGTCTAGAGGGATACTTATGCCTTATCCCAAAAAAATAAATAAAGTCGAACACTAATTTTTACGTTCCAAGCAAGTTGTGCCTAATGTCTTTGCACCACCTAGCTTGAAAGTGACTGTTGAAGAAAATGTAACTTGGACCAAAGGGCACATTAATTATTTTCTGAATATAATTAGTTAGTTTAACTAATCAGTTAATTAGTTGTTAAGTATTTATATAAAGCCAAGATTGAATAATACACTTTACTCTTCTTCTCTCTATATGCTATCTTTATCTTCTTCATCAATCCTACTCTTCTTCTCAATTCCTCCAAATTCATCATATTCAAATAATTGAATTATCTACAAAATTAAAAACAATACGAAATGATTTATTATTTAATATTAGGGACGAAAAAAGTTGAGTGTACACAAGGTTCAATTTTATTCAAATCAACATAATTTTTAGTGATGCAATGTCATTAACTACCAATTATAGACATTTAAATTGTCACTAATTAGGATAATATGACAAATTTGTTTCTACGCAGTAATAAAAGTTACTTTTAACCATCAGACGATTAAGTTTATTATTTTAACAAATTTTGAGACGAAAAAAATATTTTATCTCTACTTAGACTATCTCCAACCCACCTCTATTTTACTCTTCATTCTCTATATTTGGAGAGTAAAATAGAGAATGGGCACTCCAACCCACCTCCAAATCACCCTCTATTCTTCAAATTTAGAGAGTTGAATAGTAGTTCTCCAAATTTGGAGAACTACTATTCACACTCTCTATTTCACTTTTTTATTATTTTATAATTATTTCTATTATTTTTTAATTAACATATTATTTTACATATAATTTCATTAATTAAATATCTAATATTCATAATTCTTTTTTAAATATAATATAATATTTTTAAAAAATATTATTTAATATATACTATTTTAATTTCAAATTAATAGTATTTTAATTTTTTTTCTAATTTTCGTGAATAATAAAATTTTATTTTATTATTAATTTTCATTATAAAGAATA